CTTCTTTGCATCTGATCTGCACATTGTTTGAATAGGAATGGTTTATCCCAAATGTAATTCTTCACCTTGTGCAAGAACGTTTTCGTTTGTTGGTTGCTCATTTCAGGGGGAAGCACATGGCTCACTATATAGTTCACATAATCTGTATACCATGTTGCTTCCTTTGTGACCTAGAATAGTTGCTCGTCTAGAAAGGATTCATTGATCATTACACCATCTCCCTTTTGTTGTGCGGTATTCTCAAGTCTACAGAGATGATCTGCCACTTGGTTTTCTGTCCCCTTCTTGTCCCGAATTTCTAGGTCAAACACTTGAAGCAAAAGGACCAATTGAATCAAGCGTGGCTTAGCGCCTTTTTTTAAGATCAAATACTTAATGGCGGAATGATCCGTGAACACTATCACCTTCATACCAATAAGATAAGATCGGAATTTGTCAAAAGCAAAAATAATTGCTAATAATTTGTTCTTAGTGGTTGTGTAATTGAGCAATGCATCAGATAATGTTTTGCTAGCGTAATAGATGACATGAAACACTTTTTCTTATGTTGGCCTAAGATTGCGCCAAACACAAAGTCGCTAGCATCGCACATTAGCTTGAATGGCAAATCCCAATTTGGTGCAACTATCACGGGGGCAGTTATGAGCTTATTTTTCAACACCTCGAAGGCCTCTAGGCATGACTTATCAAAATTGAAGGACACGTCTTTCTCTAAAAGATTGCAAAAAGACTTTGTGATCTTGGAAAAGTCCTTGATGAATAGCCTATAAAATCCTGCATGACCCAAAAAACTCCGAATTCCCTTAACGGATGTTTGTGGTGGTACATTTTCAATAGTCTCTATTTTTGCCTTGTCCACCTCTATCCCATTAGTAGAAACTTTGTGCCCTGAAATAGTGTCTTCTTGAACCATGAAGTGACACTTTTTTCAATTTAACACCAAATTTGTTTCCACACCTCTTTTTAGCACAAGAATTAGGTTCTCTAAACATAAGTCGAAACTATCTCTGAATTCAAAAAATCGTCCATAAATACCTCAAGATTTTGCTGGAGCATGTCAGAGAATATTGTCATCATGCATCTTTGAAACGTTGCAGGTGGTTGCATAATCCAAAAGACATCCTCCGGAATGCAAAGGTTCCATATGGGCAGGTGAACGTAGTCTTTTCTTGATCTTCGAGTGTTACTGCAATCTGATTATAGCCGAAATAACCATCCAAGAGACAATAAAATTCATGCCCATCCAATCTGTCAAACATCTGATCGATGAACGGTAGAGGGAAGTGATCTTTGCGAGTTGTCTTATTGAAATTACTCACCACTTAGTCACTATCCATGTTGGAATTAACTCATTGTTCTCATTTGCAACCACAATCATGCCTCCTTTCTTCGTAACATATTAAATTGGACTTACCCATGAACTATTTGAGATGGGGTAGATGATTCCGGCATCCAACCACTTGATGAATTCCTTCTTGACCACCTCCTTCAAGAAGGATTTTGTGCATACAAATTGAGGGACTGATTCACTTAATATCCGCAATAGCCCATCCTAAAGTTGTTTTGTACTCACGAAGGACTCGACTCACAACAACTTGCTTTCTTGGAATTCGTCAAGTGAAGCAAAAACAATAATATACAAAGTACAAGAATCATCCAAATATGCATACCGTAAATGCTTTGGAAGAGATTTAAGTTCCAATAAAGGTGGTTCTTCCAAAGATGACTTTGCACGAGTAGTAGAGCTTCCTGAATGATCCAAAGTCTCAAATTGTTGCTTGAACTTGAAAAACCACAGGGAAGCATTCAACAACTGCATGTACTCTAGGGGAGCAGGAAATCTCTGAAGCAGTGGAACTAACAAGTGATGTCTCAAGGGGATCCGAAATAGAGCTTTCTATGAATATCTCATTCACTGCCTCTTCAACCAAATCAACTCGAAAACATTCTTTCGCTTCATTTAGAAATTTCATAGCTGAAAATACATTGAATGTAACCTGTTGATCTTGGACTCGCATAGTTAGCTCACCTTTCTGTACATCAATGAGTGTTCTCCCCGTTGCTAAGAATGGTCGCCCAAGAATAATAGGTATTTTTCTGTCTTCCTCAAAATCTAAGACTATGGAATCAGCTGAAAAATGAACTTATTCACATTAGCTAGAATATCCTCAACTACGCCCCTTGGATAAGTGAGTGATCTATCTGCAAGTTGCAATGTGACATTTGTAGGCTTCGTTTCTTTCAAACCCAATTGCTGATAAATTGAGAACGACATCAAGTTAATATTAGCTCCCAAATCACATAATGCTCTCCCGAAAAATTGACTGCCTATTGTGCATGGAATTATGAAGCTACCTGGATCTTTGAGCTTTGGTGGTAACTTCTTTTGAAGAATCGCACTGCACTTCTCCGTAAGTGCCACTATCTCAAAATCGCCTAGTTTTATCTTCTTTGACAGAATTTCATTCATAAATTTCACATAGCTAGGCATCTGCTCCAATGCGTCGGTAAAAGGGATACTTATTTGGAACTTCTTAAACACTTCCAAGAAATTTGAGAACTGCTTATCCAACTTCTGTTTCTTCAAACATTGTGGAAACGACACATTAGGCACAATAGGTCTCTGTTTGCCTCCATTAGAACTTACAACTAGATTTTCTTCCTTCTTTTTATATTCCACATTCTTGCTATTTTTTTTTCACTCACACTATCATCTCCATGCGATTGCTTTGGAGTTCCACCAAAAGCCTCAGGTAACTCTTTTCCGCTACGTAATGTAATAGCCTTGCAGTGTTCCTTATCTTCCCTCTTAGGATTGATCTCCGTATTGCTAGGTAGAATACCTTGAGGTTGGTTGTTAATGGCATTAGCAAGTTGACCCATTTGATTTTCCAGGTTTCGGATTGATACTCCCTGACTGTTCATCCTTGTCTCATTCTGTGCTATGTACTTGGAAAGTAGCTCCTCCAAGTTCAACTTTTTTTCCTGCTGTGGTGGAGGTTGATTCTGAAAGCCTGGTGGGTATGATTGTCTTGGAACAAAAGTTTGAGCTTGATTATTATTCAAAGAAAAGTTCATATGATTTCTCCAACCAGTGTTATAATTTTTGGAATTGTTGCTATGTTGCTGCCTGTTGTAGTTACCAATGTATTATACTGACTTTGAACTAATTGCACATTAATCACTTGGATGGTTCCCTGCACACAATTCACAAACAACTGTCACACTCTGAATAGGCAATACTCCTAAAGCATTAATCTTCTTTGTCAACGTAGCAACCTATGCAGCCAATGCAGTAACCGCATCAACTTCATAAATCTCTACTACCTTTGGCTGATTGATTCTTGCAGAGGGCCACTGATAATTGTTGGCAGCCATCATCTCCAATAACTCGTAAGTTTCATCAAAAATTTTTCCCATCAATGCTTCACCTGTAGCTGCATCGATATTGGTCCGAGTAGCACTAAACAACCCGTTGTAGAAAGTCTGAACTTGCAACCACTTAGGAATACCATGGTGAGGTCATTTCTGGAGTAAATCTTTGAATCGCTCCCAAGCTTCATAGAGAGTCTCAAAATCATGTTGTACGAATGAAGTGATGTTGTTCCTTATTCTCGCAGTTTTGGCTGGCGAAAAGAATTTGACTAAGAATTTTTGAGCTAAATATGTCCACATAGTAATAGACCCTGGCGACAATGAATGCAACCAACTCTTTGCCTAATCATGAAGTGTGAAAGAGAAAAGTCGGAGTCTAATCGCATCTTCGACAACCCCGTTGTATTTAAACGTGTCGCAAATCTCCAAAAAACTTACTAAATGATCATTTGGGTTGTCATTAGGCAGACCCGCAAAATGCACTGAATTCTGAATCATTTGAATGGTACCCAACTTGATCTCAAAACTGTTTGTTTGAATTGTGGACTTTTGAATGCTCGATTATATTTACGTAACAAGCGGCATAACGTAATCCCTTAACGATTTTTGTTCTTCTATAGCCACAGTTTCTTGATTTTTTACTTCTTGACAATACTTTCGCAGTTTTCGAAACCTTCTCTAGATTTCATCTTCATATGGTGGTAGTTCCTGACCTTTAGATCGTGTTAATATACAAAATTCAAGAGTGCTTGCAAAAACAATTAAAACAAAAAATTAAATAAGTTTAAACTAATATCAAATTGATTGAAATTAATATTGAAATAATTACTATAATAACTCCCTGGCAACGATTGTAAAAATTTGTTGTCCGAATGTGATATTGACAATTTATGTACAAATATACACAATCAATAAGTAATAAAGTGATAAGTATAGTGTTGTTCCCACAAAGAATTATTACTAATAATTTTCAAATACTAACTTTATATCAATTCAATTTTATTTAAACAATTGAAGATAAACTATGAAATTATTAATTTAAAACTAATTCTAAAATTACTAATCAATGACTGATTTCACTAAATAAAAGAATTTAAGATTACAACTTCCTCTAATACTTTGTATAAATTTTTTCACTCTCTTTTCCATTAATTAATTAAAACAAGTTGTTAATTGAGAATTCAAAATAATTTATTAAACTTCAGCCGATAGTTAGATAAAAATATCTCTCCTAATTAAATCACTATATTCCAAATTCATTAAGCTCAAACTCCCATAAAAATTACTCACGGCATATAAGTATATTCATATCCTATACATAAACCTAGCTTTTCAACCCTAAGAAGAAATAACTAGACGCACGTTATCACATTCAGATCTAAATCCCAGAATTCATCTTCCAATTTTATCTAGGAAATCAAATTAATTGTTAGTCAAACAATCACATATTAAGCACAAAATATGATAAATAACTTATGTATAACCAATAATAACTGAAAGCGATAGTAAATTAATTTAACTAAACTTCAGGTTCTATTGCAACTTTAATAAAAATTTAGTTCATAACGTAATTGAGAAAAAAACATCACTCTCAAATTAATCAACATCTTAGAAAATCAAAAACTAAAAGTAAGAGAAAAGAATGAAAATTGTGTTGAAATCTTTAATCTCTCTCTAGCCTTCAATTTCGATCTTCTTCACATTGCTTCCTTCGATCCCTACCTTCAATTCACTCTCAATCCTTCTGTCCCTCTGTTAGCAGCTCTTCTTATCAATATATATAGGTCTCTTGTTAAAACCTATCATCTGTAGCATTAGAATCCTATTTCTACTCAAAAACATGTCAGACCCTCGCTGAAGCCGGCGCCGCAGCCCTGCCTCATAGCAGGGCCGCGCTATCTTACTGCACCTCCAGAGCTGCGGCGCCAATAAACAGCACTGCTGCACTGGTCACCTTCCATACACGCACGCTGCCTTTATTGCTATGTCCAAAAATGATTCAAAACTTAGGTTGTCATATGACCTTTTTCATTCCAAATCATGATTCCTACAAAACAAAATTAAAACACACAAAATGAATAAAAAGGAACATAAAATACTTGGAAACTCGCAATTTCATCAAAAGCTAATTCGTGGTATAAAACCTACTCATCATGGACACCATATCATTTGGCACAAGGCATAAAATAGATCTTCTAACCTATCTGTACATAATTTTCAAATTCATTCTTACTCTTTAGGCCGAAGCTCAATGCCCTCAACAATGGGGCAACTGAACCAAGTAAGGTTCATGATATCCGTTAATTGGATCTCCAATTCACCGCCATCTCCATGATCATTTTTAAACTCCCCCATCTCAATCTCCATCCAACCATCTACTCTGTTCTGCGGTTTAGTTCTTTTTGTGGCCGTTTTCAAATAAACTCGGTTGTTTGAAGCTTCAGCCCCATCTTGGATTTCTGCAAGAAATCTAACTGATGACTTTGCTGTAACTTCATATGCCTCCTTATTCTCTGGAAGTTTAAAGACAAGGTAAGCTGCATAGGTGGTGTTTGGGGACAGCATATGTGTTTGCATCTTGGTACCAATATCAACCACAGGGACAGCTATGAGCACAAGCACCTCAGAAAATCTGGACAAATAAAAACTATACATACATCAGCATCAATTAGAAAACAAGTACTAATTAGTAGATCACATGACCACATTCCTATGCACACACAGATGTACTCGTAAGAGAGAGAGAGAGAGAGAGAGAGAGAGAGAGAGAGAGAGAGAGAGAGAGAGACCTCAATTCAGGTGACCATTCCCAAATTTCTAGACTATCTAAGGGCCATTTGATTGAAAGCTCTCTTGCTCATATCATATAGCATTTTTTCCCACTCCGTTTATTTAGCATGAAGCTCTGTTTATAAACAACAGAAAATATTTTACTAACAGAAAAATATGAGACATATAACAAAAACAATTGTTGGCATTATCTAAATTTGGGTTCTGCATTTCTATGACCTTAATGGAAGGGAATGACTTCTACCACTGCAATTGTTTACTCAGTAGACAAACTAAAAAATTTCAGTACATGTAGGTTTGTAAGATGGATTTGGATCTCACTTTATCTCCATGATAGACTGCCCTGCCAGGAAATCATGAGTAACCCTCTCTATATAAGTAGGTCCTCACCAATCCATGTAGGACAATCTAACATTGAGGGAAATTGAGAGAAAGTGTATTAGAGAGTATCTCGATACTTCATCTCTCAAGCCAATTTGAAATGAGCTCAACTACGTTGGAATTCATCTCTTCATGTTTGTCCTTCTGATGCTATTGTCAAAGTTTAGGGGTGCTGACAGAGATATTTCTAAGGATGGAAAACAGAACATTGTAATCCATAAAGACAAAAAAAAATTCTAAAATCATTCAGCTAAAGTGTCATTAACTCCAAAATAAGACAGCATTCAAGTGGTCCATCAATTATAGGATCAATCCACCACCACATTTCCTATGTGACCCAAAATCTTTTTACTTTCATCACTCTTTCGATGAATCACTGACAGAATATTAAGGCAGGGTTCATGTAATTAAGACAGATCCTATATACAACAAACTAAGAACCACATATATTTTGTTGGAGTTTGACCCAAACTTTTCAAATGTTTTATTCCTTATTAATTTGTTATTAGTTTATTAATGGTTTTAGGAGTTCTAGTCCACATGGGATAGTTACTCATTAGAGTTAATGTTTATTAGGAGCCTTTATTCTTTATAGCAATAGATGGAGTCTTGATTTATCTAAGAATTGTAGAGGCCAAATTCTTGTTTTATGAGAATAAAAGGAGCTAAAAGTGGCGCAAGCTTCGTATTCTTCTTTCGCTTTTCTTGATTTCTTAATTTATTTTCTTGGATCTTTGATCCTTAATTGTGTGTGAGATTATTTTTTGAGATCATACATACTTCTACTAATGTTAAGTTCCATGAAAAATTAGATAAAATTAGACAAAAATCAAAATTGAGATTATCCGAATCATGATCCACTGTATCTACAAGGAATTCAATTATCAAGGAAGGGTTATCAAACCCATAAAAAGTAAATTGAAGAAGACGTAAAACAATGGAAGAGACGCAAAATTAGGTTACCAGCTTGCTTCCATCAAGGAGGATAGGAGAGTTGCAGAGGCGAAAGTAGAGTTCTTTTTTGGTGGAGTAAACCACCGGAGAGACGGACCTCGATATGATCTCCGGATAATCGTACGGCAGGAATTTCTCCCACACGATGTCGGAATTGGCTGCCAACTTGAACGCCGATGAGATCGCCGAAGCTCTGCAAGCATCCCTCGGTGATGTCAACGAAATGATCGCCGATATGCAATCTTCCGGCAGTAACGAGAAAAGAGACGCCCCTTTCTTCGGTTGTTTCATCTCTCTCTCTCTCTCTCTCTCTCTCTCTCTCTCTCTCTCTCTGTGCCAACCATGAAGTGAATCTATTGTAAAGCTATTTTAGAACATATATATACAAAAATACAGCATTTTTACACTTATTTACGGATGTACCAATACTGCTTTTAAAAAAAAAAAATTGGGGCTTTGGGAAACGCGCGTTTACCAAACACGATTTTAATAAAAATGGTAAAAAACGGGTTTCATAAACACGCTGTTCACACAAATACATTGGGCAGGTTATCGTTTAACAAAAGCAAAGTCAGTAACTCGTTCAACAAAAGCGAGTTTTGACCGAATTCGACCACTTCTAACTGAGTTAAACCGTCGATTGATGATTTATAAAGAGGCCCAGATAAAGAATTGGCCTTGACAGCGAGTTCTAGCAAGTTTGGTGGTAGTTTCGGGAGTGACTCAACGAGTTTGTTGAAGCTAAGGTCCAGTCGTGTTAAGCTGGTGAGTGAGTTCATGGAGTTTGGTAATGACCCAGTAAGTGAATTATAAGCAAGGTCAAGAAATTGTAATGATTTGAGGGTGGTTATGGAGGGAGGTACTTAGCCGGAGAACGAGTTGGATTGGAGGGAGAGGGATTGGAGATTAGGGAGGGAGGAGAGAGAAGGAATTGGGCCGTGGATGTTGTTGTCGGAGAGGTCAAGGATGGTGAGTTGGGTGAGTTTGGAGATGAGAGGAGAGAGAGTGCCGGAGTAACCAGCCGGGTCGAGGGTGAGATGGATGACTTTGTGGGAAAAAGTGGAAAAAGCGTGGTTAGTAACCATGCTTTTTCCACTATTTACTTTCTTTTTTAACAAAAAAGCGACGGAATTGTTATATTCGCTTTTAAAAATTGCTGTGATTTGACAAACAAATTTAAAAGTGTTGTATTTTGATATATATATTCTAAAATAGCTGGACATTGGTAATAGATTCCACATGAATGGAATTTCATAAACTTTCAACTTATCTCAAGTTCCCGACCTTAAAAAAAAAAAAAACGTAACTCAAGTTGTGAAAAAGCATTATTACCCCCCAACTTTACCGATTGTTTCAAATTTTCCCTTATTTAAATTTCTTTATGCCAATATGGTACTCACACTATGTGACATGCCCGAAAGCTATGACTTATAATTGAGCTGAGTTATTTGAGTGTAGTTTGGATATAATTTGATTCAAGTTTGACTTATGTTTTAAACGAGTTAAATTTAAATGATTTTTTGGCTCGTTTAAAAAACAAGACTACTAGGATTATTTGGATGTAAAATAGTCAAGTTACTCGGATTCGGTTTATTATGAGCTTAACTCGGGTTAGAATAATTATTTAAATGAACTGAGTTTAAATAATTTTTCAAATTTATTTAAAAAAATGAGTTCAACGAATTTGAGTTGACCTGGTAAATCGACTCGATCAACAATGTTATCAAGAGCCCAACAACAAAAGCTAGTTATATCCCTCAATTTTCAGGAATCTTCAAAAATAAAAATTTAAGACCTCCCAAAGCAAGAAAATTTTAGAACCCATGGACAAAAGAAACAAATTTGGGGTTTCAAATTAAAATTTTAAAACCTGTGCTAATTTTTTATTAAAAGGAAGTCAACTCTATCAATATTGCTATGCTAGTCAATACTTTTTAACAAAATTTTTGCCAAATTTTTTATCTTGAGTGATATAACATAATTTTTATCGTTAAATAAATAAAATTTATTAATATTTAATAATTAAAATTATATCACGTCATTTAAGACAAAAATACTTAGTATGAAATTTGGTAATAATTAACCAGAATCTGATCTCAATTCAATCCGTTCAGAGGACTACCGACATCATAATAAGACAATGCTGATCCCAATTCAATCCGTTGAGAGGACTACCGACAACATAGTAACACAATGCTTCTAAAAAGGCTAATTTTATCAATAGTCTAATCTATGATGGGAACAAGCACCTGAATTATAAACGTTCCTCCTCTTCTTGATGATCTGCCGTAATAAAATTATAATTGATTTTCTTCACAAAAAATAAAAAAATAAGACTACATAAAGAATATTGATATGTTTCGGGAGAAGGCGTCCGGACCACTGTTTAAAAAAAAAAACACAAGTATCTGCAAAGTCATAAGACCATGAATGGGGATTGACATCTCTCCCGTGCCGAAAGGTCAAGGAAGTTGGTGACCTGATGACAGGAAAGTCAACCACCGCAGTCTTGATAAACAGTAACTATAATGGTCCTAAGGTAATAAAATTTTTTATCGGATAAATTGTGACCCCCACGAAAATTATAGCGATCTAGACTTTATTTCGAAGAGAGACCCGGTAAAATATAAAAGTACAGGTAAATTAACCCCTTAAAATTTTCAAAAATCAAACTTCAAAAAGACAATTAAATGAATACGAACTTTTATAATCCAAAATATGGCTTAATATTAATGGAAAGTTTCTATTTATGGAAAGTTATTTTTTTCCTTAAAAATAAAAAGGTAATGCAACTCTTTCTTGCCATATTTTCTTATTAACTTTTTCACATAAACTCGGGGTAAACCATGGATTAGTGGATCTTTCTAATATTTAATGGTTCTAGCTGCAACATGTCAATTGGCAAAAAAAATTACGAGAAAAATTGATCAAACAATATTATCAAGTAGTGATAAATCTAACAGTATACAAGAAAAAAAATAATTAATCACTCTCAATGTATCAAAAGTACTATAATGTGACCCTTTTTGTAACGTCCTTATTTTTTTTCGTCAAAAATTAACTAATTGATATTGACAAAAAAACTAACAAGAAGTTAATAGAACGGTGACATTACAATTCTTTAAAGATATAAAAGAAGAATTTTGAAATCTTTTAGGGTATAAAGTACAATTCACTAATTGAAATCTTGTATATTGCTCCATAACTTCACTAGTTGTCCTTCTTGGCCAAAAGTCCAAATTAATGTACCGGCTGGCCAAAACACCCAACTTTTTTTTTTGCTCTTGCCATTTCTCTACTTTCTCTCCCAAACATTTTTCCATACTAAATTTTCCTTCCCATACAAATCTTTTTGCATCCATATTTCCATCCTATTTTAACTCTTCACCCAAATAAAATAACAATCAATATTTCCTATAATTAAGCTCATATTATTCACTTTTTTGTCTTTTTATTTATATGTTTTATTCAAATTTCAAAAAAAATATACCTTTTGATTTCTAATATTTGAAGAAATAAAATTCAATATAACATCAATAAATGATATTGATGATAATAAGCGATATGAGTTTTAGCGGATTAATGATTTGCAAACCTGCAAATGAATTTTAATAGAGATTGAAAAATAAAGGATATTTAGATGGAATAAAAAAGATGCAGAGAGGGGGAGAAAGATATTTTTGATTATGTCTCCTGTCTGAAATATTTTTGATCTAGTATTAGGAATAGGCAAAACCAAGGGCTTCTTCGTCGGGTGTATGACACAATTTTGATGAAAGGTAATGAGAAAAATAAGCCTGTCAATGCTATTGGCGGGTGTAACTATCTAATAAGAAAAAAAAATAAAAAGATTAAATAAGACGTACTTTCTATCATAGAGGTTATTATGTATGACAAAGTTGAGTGGTTATAAAGTTTAATGAGACTCATTTGCTGATTTGTTTACTTATTAGTGAACCATTTCACCACCTGAAACTATTGACATAGTATAACGGAGACACCCAATATTTTTTCGAGATTGTGGTCGTGAATGTGAATCTCCTCCAAAACAGAACCACCAAGTGATAACCAACAACAAAGAAGAAACATCAAAGTTGGCACAAGAGATGATAGCTGTTGTTAAAAAGGACCATGTGTTCCTAGATGATGATCAAATTACGATGGTTTACCCAAAAACAAGCGATAGGGAGATTCAAAGTACAATCACCCCAGGTCGAGGAGAGACAAGTAGACATGGCATTATACCAAGCTTTGGGTGCACCGACGAAGGATCAAGCTTCGATTCAGTTTCTTCCACCAAACAGTTCTTCCATCACAAATTTTCTCCTCTGAAACTCTCTTTTATCTTCTGTGTTGCAAAAAAAAAAAGTGAGCCCCTTGAGATAGAGCATTTGAGGATCAAAATCAGTTCAATTAACAACTGTAAGTACGAGATAAATAAGCCCGTAATTAGAGCAGAGTTCAACCACAAGCATATAGAGTGCAAGAGTAACAAGAAAATGAAAAAAAGTTCCAGAGGGTAACGTATTAGCATCTGTCTCTCACCCTAAAACACCATGCCTATTCTACAATGAACACCACATGATTCAACACCAGGTATAAAATAGAACTAGATTATGCATGCTTATCTTTTCAATTTACTTTTACTCCTTAGGTCGAAGCTCAATGCCCTCAACAATGAGGCCACTCTTCCAATGACCATGTTTGATCTCATTAAATTGCATCTCCACCTCACCATAATCTCCATGATCATTAAAAAACTCCCCAGCTTAATCTCCATCCACCCATCTACTCTCCTCTGTGGACGCCAACCAGTAGGTAGTCTAGATACACGTCTACGCAATCCTCCGATACGTTCAGGCAATTCCAAGTAAACTGTGTTGTTCAAAACTTCAGCCCCTTCATGGCTTTCCTCAACAAATCTAACTGATGCCTTTGATTGGACTGCAAGCCCAAAGTTCTTCTCTCCAATTTTAAAGACAAGGTAAGCTGCATAGATGGTCTTTGGAGACAACATTTGAGTTTGCATCTTGCCTCCAATAGCAAGCCAACACACAGCCTGGAGCTCAGCCACCTCAGAAAATCTGAACAAAAAAAATGTATGTGCACATCACTCATCAATGCAAAGACAAGTTAAAATTAGGTAAACCATGGGACCTCATTTACACATATCGTCATACACTCACACGTACATATATATATATATATATATATATATATATATAGAGAGAGAGAGAGAGAGAGAGAGAGACCTTGATTCAGGCAAAGATGTCCACCTCCAGTACTGTGGAGTATCTCCCCACACAATCGAAAGCCCTCTTGCTCGTATCATATAACATTTTTTCCCGCTCCATTTATTTAGTATGAAGCTCTGTTTGTTAACAGTTTCAAATTTTGTATTATCAGACAAATATGTAAAATATAAGAAAAACTGTCGTGATTGATTAAATGTAAAAAAGAAAATCAACATTTTCTCATTTTGGGTTCTGTGTTGCTCTAAAACCTTAATGGATTGAAAAACTTCTACCATTGGGTGGTTTACCAGCTCATATAACTATTGCTTCACTTTGGGAATCGGCCTCCGAAAAATTGGGTATCGCTCTTGACCACTTATGCCTCCCAGACGTGTGTGATCCACAGAAACTCACTATCTTATCTACTTGAAATTTTGTCAATATCAGTCTAATTCATTTGTCCACGACTGAATTTTTTTTTTGTTATGTTTGACAGGATGGATGGAAGGAAAAGTAAGGGGAATGGATTTTCAATCCAAAAGGGAAGGAAATCTTTTTTTCCTCCTCTTTGTTTGGCAAAAGGGATGGATAAAGTAAGAGGACTAAATTCTCCATTGTTTTGTTTGGTAAGAAGAAGGGACAGGAAAAAGATATTATAGACTTATTTCCATAATGCCCTCACATTTTACATACATGTATTCTTTTGTAATTTTTTTTCCAACTACCTGAACGTTTAATAGGTCCCATATACAATGAGAAATGTTCTTGATTTCAATGAAATAGATAAAACAAACAAGAACACTTCACAAACGAAAAATACGAACTAAATTTTATAAAGATATGGCAAGAGAACTGATATTCATCAGAGGATGAATGTGTTGCTTAATGGATGAAAGGACACCAAACCAAGGTCCTCCACTTGTTGGTTGGTCAGAGTGTTAACACACTTTTCCAGTTGTATGTTCATAGTTGGTTTTGGTATGCTCATTATAAGCTATGTAGACTTCTAGAGTTTTCTCTAGTTGGTATACAATTCCTTTGGTTGGTGTGCAATTCATTTAGAACTATTTATGCATAAGATTTTTTTTTTTTGTTGGTTTTTGCGTGATCTTATATGAATTCTTCCAGTAGACAATGTTTTAAATTAGCTATTTGGCTTTTCATGTCATAAATAAATTGGCTAGAATTACTTGTAAACTGAAAAATAAAATTCATGAACAACTCTAAAACCACCTAGACCCAACCACCATTAGCAAGAATTCCTTGCAAAAAGTGAAAAATGAGCTTTTTTTGTTTGCGTTTCAAAAAATAGTATTCGAAAATAATTTTTGAAAAAGTTTTAAGAAAGTATTTTTAAAAATTTTTAGATTGAAAAACCTGGTTATATATTTTTGAAAATAGTTTTAAATAACAAAAAATAATAAAACTTGTTTGAATAATGATCTATAAAATTAATTTTTAACTTTTCACTTGTGAAAAAAAAAAAAAAAAAAACCTTATCACTCTAGTCAGGCAATCACTCCAGTCAGGCTTCTCACCCAGCAACTATCTCTCCATTATCTTCTCACACAGCAACCATTTCCCTCACCCAGCAAGTTTATCGGCTTCTCACCCAGCAAGTCTCCCTCTCTCTCCATTATCTTCTCATACAGTAACCGTCTCTCTCTATTATCTTCTCACCCAGCAAAAACAAACACCCAGAGCCATATATATATATACACAGATCTATGTTCATACAGATCTGTTGCGCAGAGACAGAAAAAGAGAGAGGAGAAGATGAACAACCGGCGGAGACGATGAACAGCATAAGAACAGAAGATGATGAACAGCCGGTCACCAGTTTTTGTCTCCAATGAAACTCGAAGGAAGACTTCGTTAATTTGGATATAGTTGTTTCTCTTATTTTCAATTTGCCTTATAAAACAATGAAAATATCATTTTGTTATTTTTAAAATCATATACCAATTCTTAAAATTTTCACAATACTAGAGAATAAAAAAATTAAACAAACAAATTTGGGTGTTTTTAAAGTTTTGAGAACAAAAAACAGTTTTTAGAAACCTAACCAAACCGAACAACTCTAAAACCACCTAGACCCAACCTCCATTGGCAAGAATTCTTTGCAAACAGAGAAAAATGGAATTCAGAAACAACTCAAACCACCTAGAACCAACCACCCACTTTAGTAATCACGAGCATTATAAAAACCTATTTAGTGAGTAAAACCATACATACACCTCGTGTGTAAATACTAAAGATTTGTCAGATAAGATGGGAGGCTCGTGCCCTAACCTGTTCTTTTTTTTTCCTTTTTAATTATGTTAGTTTTAGATAGATTTGTTAAGCTTATTTAGTTTTCATGGGAAATATATATATTTGATTACATAGTTAATATATAAGTGTATGACCAAATTAAGGGTAATATGGATAGAGAGAGATTATTTTACACTTCCAGGATATCACCACCAAACATATTTTTATATAATATTCACCAAACATTCAAAATTCTTTAGAAGTCCAACTGGAAACTCCATTTTGTAAGGTTCATCTCTGAAATGCACTTCTATTTTGAGAAGTAATGCCAAAAGCAACCTAAAACTTAGATACAAGTTGCCTAATTTTGAAATTGAGAGATCCGAATCCTGATTCACTATATCTTCCCACACAGACGCAAGGACACACAGAGAGAAATGTAGCAACAGACATTCAAAGAATCAAAACTTGCAAGTATATAGAATACAATAAAAGAGCTACTGATTTACCAGATTGCCTCCATCAAGGAGGATTGGAGTGTCATTGAGGCGAAAGTAGAGTTCCTTTTTGGTGGAGTATACTACCGGAGTGACGGACCTCGATAGGATTTCCGTATAATCAGACGGCAGGAATTTCTCCCACACGGTGTCGGAATCAGCAGCTGACTTGAACGCCGATGAGATCGCTGTTGCTCTGCATGCGTCCGTGAGTGATGTCAAGGATATGATCTCCGATATGCAACTTTCCGGCAATGACGAGAGGTCCGATACCCCATTCTCTTCCCCGATCCCTCTCTCTCCCGCATTCTCTCTCCAGAAATTGGAACCTTCAAGTCCAACAATGATGTTCATCTCTCCGGAAAATGAAACCGTTGCCTCCAACATTACCAGTACGTTTTGTATATATACCCAAAATAAGGGGTGATTGTGTTATTTTCGTCATTCCCAACTTCCAAAGTATGTATATATAGCTACCTACCCCTTGCATTTGATGAAATTAATAATCCAGACCCCTTCTTTTCTTTTCTTTTTTATAAAAAATTCCCTCATTATTTTTCCTCTTTCACACCACTACTTAAGAAATTATTAAAAGTTATGGGGTGAAAAAATATATTTTAGATAAATTTATAGTGAGTTTATAGGCATTGTAACTTTTCACACTATAACTAAAGTCGATACAAAATCAATGCAACATTAATAATTTGAGTTGAGATTTAGCTAAGTTGAATATTATATGAAAATTTTGTTAAATACATAAAGGAAAATATTTGATGGGATTTTAGTTAAACACTATATGCGTATAATTAAATAAATTTATACATAACACGAATCAGATATGACACAAATTTGTCTTTACATGATTATAAATAGGTTAGATACAAGTTAAAAATATTTTACCAAGATATAAATCACACTATATTAAAAAAAATGACACAATTAATTGACAATACTGCTTGCCGTGTATTTTGTCTATTGCCTCAATTTTTCTTCGAATAAACTTTGTCTTTTTTAAATTTGGTAATCAGAATTTGTGGGATACATCAATATGGTGGTCAGAATTATGTTGCATAGTTTGAATATTATCTTGAGAAGAAAATATTGTTTGGCGGTCAAAATAAAATAAAGGATAAAATTTAGAGGCCATAGTGTTTTTAAACCTAGTATAATCCCTAACACCTTCTCCACTAAGCAACCGAAGCCTTTATTTAAATCTTTTTCAATTTCATGGAAAAGAGAGAATGGTGGAAGGGATTTCCTTTTGGTCTTGTTTACAAAATTTATTAATATGATTTTCCTATATGTTTTGAAAAGGGTGGTGATTGATTAAACTAAATGGCATACATGGACTAGTGGTTCGTTTGATAGGAGGAAGAGAAAGTTAGAGGGATGAAAAAATAAGATGAATAGTCTTTCCATCATGTGCGGAAAAAAAATATTTTCTCTTTTATTTGTTTGGTACGATAAATAGAAAAGTGGAAGGATTGTTTTTACATTATTTGGTATTAAAGAAAAAATGAAAAGAAAGAAAGCACATAAACTTCAATTTACCATTTAACCCTCACAAAAAATTGCTATAATGTCATTATATACTTCACCTATAGACATTTTTCTCCAACAATTTTTTTTTTCTAAAATGTTAAAAAAAAAAAAAAAAGAGAGTATGTTGTTGTTTAACAGCTCACATGGGACAAATCAAATGCCTCACCAAATGGAATGTGGTGTAAAATTGAACACGTGGAAGAGTTAAAGGGTGAAGAATTTTGACATGGGTAAATAAGTAATTAGAGCCTGTAATTTCAAATGGCCCATTCTTTCTTTCAGTTTTCCGCCCACAATTGGACAAAGGATGGTCTTTCCATCCAATATTCTTTTTCACCCATTTTTTCTTCGAAATCAAACGGTGGAAAATCAATCTCTCCCTCTCATTTTCCAGTCTCCATTTTCCATCCACGATTTTCCCTCAAACCTAACTGAGGGTAGGATAAAGTCTCCTTTACATCTTTATTTCTTTTTTTTTTTTTTTAATTATAACTATGTAATAAGGATAGGGTTTGATGGGCTTCAATAGGAGATTCTCTACCACTTTTCCTTCTGGTCTTTTTAACTTTTTCTATAGTGCTCAAAAATAATTTTTCTAGTTTTTGCACCAAAAGGAAAATTATAGTTTAATCAAGTCGAGATTTTTGATCATTTCACAAACTTAGAATCAATCACAACTTTTTAGGTTGATATTCTTAATTTTATAGGACTGGTCTGAAATTTTGTAATCTACTAGTTGTTGATCTCGATTTTTTTGAATTATAGTTTGACCTTATTTAGTTCAAACCTTTTTGTAGACAATAGATTTTTTCATTTCATTCGCACCAAAAATGTAAAGATTTCCTCGTATTTTGATGAGAGATTGTCTATCTATAAAAAATATATATTGGTACAATACCAAAATTAATTGGAAATTATGAATTTTGGTTTAATTGATTCATTGTCATTGATTGTTAAGATGATAAAATAATATAAAATAATTAAAAAATTAATTTTTATTAAATAAAAAATAAAAAAATGGGCTCACCAATGCTCTGTGCATGTATATGTAAGGGTCAAAAACATAATTGGACGTGAACTTTGTCCATCATTTCAATATTTTCCCTGAATAAAGTTTTTGCCATTTTTTTTGCAATATTTACTAAAATTATTTGACATGCTTCAACGTGGACATTCTCCTAATTTCAGTTACAATATTATACACGTGCGTGTCACGTGAATTTTTTGATAAAATATAAATAGAATTCTAGATAGAATCATATTTAAACCTATTTCATCCTTTGAATTATGTAAAAGTGTGAGGTAGTAAAACACTACATTTTTTCTCAAAAATTTCCATCTCTCTCTCTCTCTCTCTAAATTGGTTCCTCTTTCTATAGAACTTTACATGTGTTTTTGAAACCCAATTTTTAGTTCTACTTCATTGCGTAGGAATTTTCCTATACCCTGTGTCGATGGGTCTTATTGATGTACTTTTTTGCTCTCTTTCTGCAAAATAAGTTGTTATAGATTCGGATAAATTTTGAATTTTGATCAAAAAGAGAATGCTAAAATGTCTTTTCTGCCCTTTTTGTGAGGAAAGTGCAAGTTCCAATTAAAAATTCTCGAAACTTTTTTAGTTCTCCTTCATTGCGTAGGAATTTTCCTATATCCTGTGTCGATGGGTCCTATTGATGCATTTTCATATTATCTTCCTACAAAATAAGTTGTTATAAAGTCGAATAAGTTTTGACTTTTGATCAAAAGAGAATGCTAAAATGCCTTCTCTACCCATTGTGAGGAAAGGATGCGAGTTCAATTTAAAAATTCATAGAACCTTTCTAGTTCTACTTCATTGCGGAGGAATTTTTCTATACCCGGAATCGATGAGTCCTATATTGATGTATTTTCTTGTTATCTTCTTCTAAATAAATTGTTGTGGACTTGAATAAGTTTTGACTTTTGATTAAAAGAGAATGCTAAAATGCCTTTTCTGCCCTTTGCGAGGAAGGGGTGTGAGTTGCATTTAAACATTCCTGAATCCTTAAGCATTAAGTATTCCCAAGCCCTAATTTAAACCTTTAAGAATATGTTTGGAAAAGTGGAGTCCTGCAATATACGTAATTTTTATTTTTATCCTCTCCTCCGAGCACTTCCAACTATGCTTCCTTCCGAAACTCCATAGATGCCCAATCCTCTGATGAAAAGGGTCAATCGTCTTGAACAGATAGTTAATACGTTAAGTGGAGACAACTATGATATTATGAATCCTTAGAATCTCTCCTTATACTCCAAAGTTATATAACCGATCCTTGTTTACTTTTTCCAACCACACGTTGTCTAATCAAATCAAATTCTCTCTCAATACATTTCTCAAAAAATTTGATTGAGACGGATTCTTCCCCTAACTAATGAAGAGATCTTGGCAGAATTGTCACGTATGAAATTGAGTACAATTTTGCAAAGAAATAACTCACTAATTGTTTCTCGAGAAGAGATGGGAAATATGCTCAATGTTGGGTTGAGTCCTGGTCAATAGGAGTTTGTTGCTTGCTTAGTTAATAAGTAGTTCCTACTTATTAGCTGTTGACTTAGTTTCTCCACGTCTTTAGATATTTGTTAGACGTGGTTGTTATTTTTCCTTGATTCCTGTTTTTGTAAGGCTATTTATATAGCCAAGTCTGATATTCAATAGATAATTGAGTTTGCTCCCAACTTCAGTTTTGCACTAGTTCAAACTCTGTTTCAATTCAAACTTTGTTTCAACATTTGGTATCAGAGCCACTCCTTTTACTAGTGTTGTCATCATGTCTGAGAGTTCCTTTGTGCAGCCAGCAGTTCCTAAGTTTGATGGGCATTATGACCATTGGTCAATGCTCATGGAAAACTTTTTGAAGTCTAAGGAATACTGGCACTTGGTGGAGCATGGAATTCCTGCCGCAGCAGGAGAGGGTAGTGTTCTCACGGAAACTGAGAATAAGCACATTGAGGATCAAAAGTTGAAAGATTTAAAAGCCAAAAATTATCTCTTTCAAGCTTTGGACCGTTCGGTGCTGGAAACCATTCTCAACAAGGATTCCGCAAAGAACATATGGGATTCTATGAAACTGAAATATCAAGGCACGACTCGTGTTAAGCGTGCTCAATTGCAAGCTCTACGGAAGGAGTTTGAGCTTCTCCACATGAAGCTTGGAGAATCTGTGAATGAATATTTCGGTCGTACACTTACCATCGCCAATAAGATGAAAGCAAATGGTGAGGTAAACGTTGCTGTTGTTGAAAAAATATTGAGGTCCATGACTCCTACATTTAATTATGTGGTGTGTTCTATTGAGGAATCTAAAGACATAGATACCTTAACTATTGATGAGTTGCAAAGCAGCTTACTTGTGCATGAGCAGCGCATGAGTTCCCATAATGAAGAAGAACAAGCTTTGCAAATCATTCATGGAGGCCGGAGTCAAGGACGTGGAGGTATGAGAGGAAGAGGAAGAGGGCGCGGCAGACAGAACTTTGACAAGGCCACAGTGGAGTGCTATAAATGTCACAAATTGGGGCATTTTCAATGGGAATGTCCTAGCACAGAGAAGGCAGCTAACTATGCAGAAACTCAAGAACACCTACTACTTATGGCATATGTAGAGGTGACTAAGGCCCATGGGGATGATCTCTGGTTTCTCGATTCAGGATGTAGCAATCATATGAGTGGGAAAAAGGAATATTTTGCTAATTTTGATAGTAGTTTCAAAGATAATGTGAAGCTTGGTAACAACTCCAGTCTAGCTGTCCTTGGCAAAGGTAACATACGGTTAGAGGTGAATGGGATGATACAGATTATTACTGATGTATTTTATGTGCCAGATTTG